AATTTGTTGAGAGACTTGCAGATATATCAGTGGATCTATAAATGTTTATTGAATTACATTTCTTTGCTTTCAGTTTCTAAAATTTATTGAAATTCATCATTTTAAGCAACTGAATTGTCAGAAGTTGATATTTTTATTTGGTTGTGTACTTTTTAAAAGATGAGGAAAGATATTGTTAATTTCACTGATTATGAATGTTGTTCCTTTTTAATATTGTGATAATTTCAAAGTTTTTAAATTCCATTGTTGATCATCGTTTTTTTGTTGTTTCCTAATCAGATATGAACGAGAGGAAGCTTTCATGGCTCTCAATCTAGGAGTTACTTCTTGTCAGAGTTTGGAAATTTCTTTGGACCAGTTTGTTAGAGGAGAAGTTCTAGAAGGAAGTAATGCATATTACTGTGAAAAGTGCAAAGAAAAGGTATCACATTTGCCCTTTTTAAAAACAAAATCAATTCGTTATCCATGTACTTTGTCTTTAGGTTTAATGTAAGATCAATATTAAGCTCCTGTTGTTACTTCTATTAGACTGTGTCATTACTTATATTTTCACGGATGGGAAAGGCCTCTAGAAATGTATGACCTTTGTATTAATTACATGACTGCTTTTTTTTTTTCCAAGGAGATAATTTGGTTTTGCTTTTCTTTAGAGAATCACAGTGAAAAGGACATGTATTAAGTCTTTGCCTAGTGTCTTGGTCATTCACCTAATGAGATTTGGATTTGACTGGGAGAGTGGACGCTCCATTAAGTATGATGAACAGATAAGGGTAATTTTTTTTTCCTAAAAGTGCTATGACTGTTACTACCTCGCTCCCTCCTTACTGTTTCCTTTTAATATTTTCCAATTTCATTTAAACTGTGAAAGGCTGTGGTGTCAGCATTCCGAGGAGTACGCAGCCCCTTGTCTTAAGCAGCTGTTACTAGTGGAGCTGTATAGTGTTACCAATAAACAATACCCCTCATTTCTAGAAGGCATCCTAGTGTTAGCTGTGATATAAAATGCTTTCCTTAACGTTCAAACAAGAGATTGCTTGTACTTTCCTAGACTTGTGAGCCACTCTGAGATTTTGTGCTTAAGTTGGAGAGGTAGTCCCTGCTTAAGTTAGGAAAACGCATCCCTCTTATTTGTGCCTGACTTAACTGGGTATGGCAGTATATGTTACTGATTCACATTAATGTGTTCTTTTTGCTTTCAAACAGTTTCCCTGGATGTTAAACATGGAGCCTTACACAGTTTCAGGAATGGCCCGCCAAGATTCATCTTCTGAAGTTGGTGAAAACGGACGAAGTATGGATCAGGGAGGTGGCGGATCCCCACGAAAAAAAGTTGCCCTCACAGAAAACTATGAACTTGTCGGTGTCATTGTACACAGTGGGCAGGCACATGCGGGCCACTACTATTCCTTCATCAAGGATAGGCGGTAAGGGCTTCTCCCGCCGTCCCTCACTCTGCCCACCCAGCAGTCTCTCCTCTGCTCCCCCTGCACTCCCTTGCCCTCCTCTGCATTCCTTGCCCTGTTTTATCACCCACAGTTATTACGGTACAAAGAAGCTTTTGCATTGCTCTCTGATCTTATTTCATGTTGGATTTTTTTAAACTTATTGTAATTGTTTTTACCCCTTCGATTTGAAAAGTTGCTTTAGAAATTATAATATTATAACTGTTACTATATTTTTCCTAGGTGTTCTAAAATGGTAATCACCTGCTATATTTGTAGACAGTACAAAGAGAGAAATGCTGGGGATGGGTTGTTTGTTTTTTAACCTTATAATTTTTGTTTTATCTCTGGGCTCTAGGGGATGTGGAAAAGGAAAGTGGTATAAATTTAATGACACAGTTATAGAAGAATTTGACCTAAATGATGAGACCCTGGAGTATGAATGCTTTGGAGGAGAATATAGACCAAAAGTTTATGATCAAAGTAAGTATTTACAAATGGCTGTTTTCCATGAGTTTCATTTTATTTTAATTTATAATTTTCTATTAAATTGGAAGCAGTATTCTTTACATAAAAATAGGATTTTATTCTTTTTACATACTGCTGCTCTAGCTGTATATAGACCCATGAACTCTGATAGCCAGAGTGAAAATGTTCAAGCTGCTTACAAAAAATTTTTTAAATAATTCCTTACAACAGCCTGGGGTAGAGAAATGGGATTGGGGGTAAGTTTAGTGGAAGAAATGAATATCAAAGAGAAACTAATGAAAGCAGAATTTCAACCTTAAAAAAAATTTGCAAGAGGTAGTTGGCTACTAAAATTTTCAAATTTCCTTTTCACTTATATAGAGGTATGATTAATTAGAGAAGACATTTCTACCATCTGTGTTTTTAAAACCATATTTATTACTCAGGGAGGCAAAGGAATCTTTCCACAACCCCCACGCCCAGGAGAAAAAAATATGAGAAAAAATACATCACAAAATTCAACCAGAATTTGCCTTTTGAAGAACAGACATTTCACAGAGACCTTAGCATTTCTGAAAGCTGATTTTGAAATATTCTGGGGGCATTTTTAAATGTCCGGTTACATTAGATTCACTGTATTTTGATACCATATCATGGTAGTCATGCAGCTAATGGTAGGAACCTTTAATGGTTGAATATAGTATCATTGCCAAAATTGACCTAGATTTGGCTGTTATATCCAGAAATGATTAAATGAGGCCAATTAGAATCACATCCTGTGCCACAGAGTTTATTTTTAAACGATACCTGCCTTTTGATTAAATTTAGACTTGCCTAGGAATATTTACCTTATTTCACTCATTCTGTTACCTTACAAACTCCGTAACTCCCTGCGTGTCTATATCACCTTGTGAGTAATTCTAAGCAGTACTCTAAAAAGACACATATTTTACTTATATTCTGCATTTAACAAATTTAATAAGTAGTTGCTTGCTGGATTTATGGGTCCTTTATTTTAGATTGTCAAGACAAGAAAACTTTTTGTTTACAAAGACTTCTTTCTTAATGTCTTATTATAAAGCAAACCCATATACTGATGTTCGCCGAAGATACTGGAACGCCTATATGCTCTTCTACCAAAGAGTATCTGATCAGAACTCCCCAGTGTTACCAAAGAAAAGTCGAGTCAGTGTTGTTCGGCAGGAAGCTGAGGACCTCTCTCTGTGAGTTTCTTTTCTGTGTAATTCGCTGTGTGATTTCAGTCGGTGATATTGTTATCTTTATACTCTTTGGGATTTAAAGGTAATTGGCTAAGCTAGAGAGAAACTCAAAAAAGAAAGTAAATCATTCTATCTCTTTCCTTTCCTTTTATTGCTAAATGGTCATTATTTCCTTGGCAAGAAGTTATTTTGTATTTAGAAAAAGGCATATAAATGATTTCATTCTAGAACTGAGTTTTTTTTAATCAGAGCATTTACTTTTTTTTTTTTTTTAATTTTTATTGGAGAATTGGGAGATGGGAACAGCGCTAGGGAATTGGGGGAAGGGGAACAGACAAGTTGCTGTCGTTTTGTTCTTCAGTCTAGTTGTGGAGGGCGTTGCTTCACTGGCCCAAGTTCGCACAATCATTGCGCTCTTCCTGGGCGAGGCATATCAGTCGCCGGCTTCTGGACGGCCGCTCTCTGCGGCTGCTGGCCGCTCACACTGGCTGCTGGCTACACACAGTAGCCCATGGCAACCCACTGCAGCAGGGGCTGCCGCCTATGCTGTCGCCAGTGACTCATGGCAGCCCAGATCCAGGTTGAGCTGTTGTTCAGCATCTTAGCTGTAGAGGGCAGTGTCACTGGCCCTCATATGTGGGATCCGAACCAGGACCCTCTGGGGTCCCAAGCCAGCTCTTAACCAATGTGCCACACAGCCAGCCCAATCGGAGCATTTATTGAATACACCTTATGTTCAAAGCATATTGAGTACTATGCCAGCACTGTCAGAAAGGTTTTTTGTAATCCTGTTCTCTGTGAATTTGCATTTAATATATTGAATCAGGAAAGTATGCAATCTATTTTTAAGTCTAGTACCCTGTTTATGTAGGTATGTCAGGTTATAGCAACAAGAAAACAGTAGCCAGTTTTTACTAGACAGTTTTCTGATTCTGTCTCTTAGGTCAGCACCATCTTCACCAGAAATTTCACCTCAGTCATCTCCTCGGCCCCATAGGCCTAACAATGACCGGCTATCTATTCTAACCAAGCTGGTTAAAAAAGGCGAGAAGAAAGGACTGTTTGTGGAGAAAATGCCTGTTCGAATATACCAGGTAAGAACTGTATGAAAAATTCTAAGGGAGAAATCCGTAGAAGTGTCAGAACCTACCTCGTACATCCAGAAGTACTGCCGCCAGCCTTCTTGTGGACTCAGTCATTCCTCTAGTGCCACATCTTCTTACCCACCTTGTGTCGTGCATCTTTCACGTACCAGGTCACAGATACGGCTGCAGACTGTAGACTCAGCAGCACCTTCATTGACCTGCTGGGTGACTGAGAGCTGCAGATACACAGGGAAGGGAGTGGGAAGGAAAAAACACACTGCTGAAATTAACTTCCTGTATCTGAAGAGAAAAATAAGTTAAGGTTTATAACCTGTGGGTTAAGCTAATATGGCAATGATGACCATTAATTATTGAATACCTACTCTGTGCTACATGCTTTAAACAAATCCCTAATTCTTAAAACACTCTTGTGAAGTAGCAGGTTTTATTTCCATTTTCAGATGGGGAAAAAAATGAAGCTCAGTAAAGGAAAAATGACCTGCCTGTGTCACAGAGCCAGGATTTAAATTCAAACTATCTGACTACCCAGTCCAGACTTTATGCACTGAGTAATCAAAAGCTAAGTAACCAGAACCAGAGAATTTAAGAAAAATGTGGAGCCTTTCATTCAGAGAAAGAAAATTAAGCCACCCGGTACAAGGAAAGCATGGAGTTAGTTGTACTCGGGAAAGGTCTGTTTGTCCCTGCCTAGCCAGAATAATAGGTTAGAATTCAACTGTCCTTCACATGGTGGTTTTCCTAAATTTCCCAAAAGGGTTTGCTTTAATGAATAATAATTCACCTTTTTACAGCTTTTTATGTTTGAAAGGAAGATTTTCTTCTTTCCTTTTTACAACTTCAAAGCCTGAGAGAAGGGTTTTTATGAACCCTTTTTTTGTAAGGTATCACATGTCTTACACGTGTTGAATGTTTTTACCCCTTTTTTAAAAAATAATTGTTAATTTTCTTTTGCAGATGGTGAGAGATGAAAACCTCAAGTTTATGAAGAATAGAGATGTGTACAGTAGTGATTATTTCAGTTTCGTTTTGTCTCTAGCTTCATTGAATGCTGTAAGTGCTAACTGAATTGTTACTAAAGAAATAAGGAAGAATTGTAGTTAAATATCATTCAGCTAAACATTAAGTGTCTCATCTCTCAGTTGTTAACATTTAGATTAGATGCAAAAAGAAAATTTCCACAAATATGTCACTTATTGGCTGATATTAAAATACAGGCAGTATTCAGAATGTGTGATGCAGATTGAATGGGTGTGGGTTTCCATATACTGGCTTTTTTAAGTGCTCTTGTTTAAATTTGATAACAAATCGAAGAGTAACCATGAGGTAATGTCAGTGGATACTGGGCTTTGTGGAGATTAATTTTTTCTAATTTGTAATCAGACGTTACCAGACTCAAGATTAACTTTCAAGTATTTCTCTTTCTTGAATACCATGATTATAATTTGCTGATCAGGGGAAAACTTTCTTAATCTATTAATAGGTTATTTAACATCCTGTGGTCTAAAGACTGAACTTTGAGAGGACTTCATAAAAGAAATGAAGATGTCTTTCCTAGCCTTTTTTAAAGTTTAACTAGAACATTTTCTATAATGAACTGGCTGGATTTTTCTTATTAGTATTTTATCATGTATCATTATTTAGTTCATAACAATGTGTAATAATCGATAAAACTTCTGTAAGAAATATCCTCTCTTTTTCCTTCCCCTCTCTCAGACTAAATTAAAGCATCCATACTATCCTTGCATGGCAAAAGTGAGCTTACAACTTGCCATTCAATTCCTTTTTCAAACTTATCTACGGACAAAGAAAAAACTCAGGTAAGAAGTGATATATTTTGACTGTTGTGGCAAAAATCACTGATTAATTCAATTAAAGTTGGATTTATAAATTCAGTTTTTCAAGACATTGTTTTAGGAAATTGAAGGCAGCTACCTAATATTCTCAGATGATTAAGATATGGCGCCTATCTTTAAGGAATTTCTAATCCAGTAGGAGAGATAGATTAAACAAAGCAGCCGTGGGATGCAAGGCATAAATACTGTACATCTTTGGAAATTGGGCAAAATCCTATCCAGATATGGAGACTGGGTAGACATTAAAGACATCAGTATTCTCAGAGGACTTTGAAAGGCAAATGTAGAGAAACAGGTTTTCTGCGGGAAGGGAAGAACCTGAGTAACAGGCAAGGCTTGCTTAAGGAACTGTAAACAACTAGTATTTTCCTTGTACGTTTAAGGAACTCCCTTGAGATGTGGCCAAATGTTGGGTTTGGATGAGATCATTGAGTGCCCTGAGTGTCAGAGAAGGGAGTCTGGGCTTTGTTCAGTGGGAGATTTTGGAGGGCTTTTGAACAGGGGGGCTGTATGTTCAGAGTGACATTTCATTTTTATGTGCAATATTCAAAGATACATTAAGTGATATCAGTCTATTGATTGAAAAAGAAGAAATAATGTGTTTTTTGTAATGTCGAGCATAGAATTTAACTAAGGAAATTTATTTGGTTACTTTTAATTGTGAAATTGGCTCAAGCTGTCCACACGTTGCACACTATTTCAGTTTTGTTTATAGTTACCATTTTGGGGCGTGAGGGGCTGAGTGGGGTGGTGTAAAGTCATGGATAGTGTAGTCATTGAACTTTTTTTCTGTCCAAATATTTTTATTCCATAAAACAACATATTAATGATTGTCACAATAATGTATGAAAGTATTGAAAGTAGGCATTTTGTGAATACAAATTAAGCAAAACAAAATGTTCAGACATTTTTTGCAATTGAAGTTTTTTGAAGAAGCTGTAGAAGATAGAAGGTAAAGTCTAAGACGTTTGTTCACTCGGGCGCAGGAGGATGAGTTACACCACAAGTACCTGCGAATGCAGAGCGCTGGCTTCTGGGTGCGTGGAGCCATGTTAGTCAGCAGCATTGAGCATCGAACTTACCTTCCACCCACACCCCCCCCCCCAAATGAAAATTTTTTAACTGGATTAACACTCCATGGGGTTATTTGTTGGGGCCCTACTCCTAACATCACTTTCTTTGCTGTTTTTAAAGGGTTGACACTGAAGAATGGATTGCCACTATTGAAGCATTACTTTCAAAAAGTTTTGATGCTTGTCAGTGGCTTGTTGAATATTTTATTAGTTCTGAAGGACGAGAATTGATCAAGTAAGTGTCAAGATCTTCTGATTAAAAGAAATGTGTGTCTCTTCTAGTGATTTGGAACTGAGGTTTCTTGTAGCTCTTTCTATTTCAACTTGAAATTATTTTTCTGATTGGAATCAAATTTAAGCTGTCTTCACTGATGAAGCAGTGAGGAAATTATTCAGGTCACACCAAAATCATTGCCAAAACCATGTCTGTTGGACTAGACTCAGGGTGTTCACTGAGTGTAAGGAGAGCATGTGCGCCGATAACCAAGTGCTCACAGGCAAGCATGTCCTGAAACCCTGCTGTGACTCGGGGTTCCAGATAGAAGTCTCTTTTCTCAGGGCCTCACAGCCTGGTGGCAGGGTAAAGAGATCAATAATCCTAGCTCACTACACAGTAATACCACAGTATTGTCTTAACTGTGTTTGGATTCTGGCTCAAGTATTTTCAAAAATCTGATAGTATAATATCTACAATAGTATATTTCCTATATACCTTTAACTTTTTAAAATGTTGCTTTTTGGGGTAAAAATTTGAGATGCTCCAATCACTGTGAATGTTTACATCTTACTCCCAAGCGTTCTCCTAACCTCGGACAGTTCAGCATTCACATGGAGGACGCAGCAAGCACCTTGATCTCTCTGGCCAGTCTCCGTTATCCTCAGCGGTTCTCCTCCTCTCTGCCCCAGCTGGACCTCCTCACTCCTCCGACATGCCAGGCCCACTCACCCCACTTCTAGCTAATGACCTTGCTCAGACTTCCCTGAGAAAGTAGGGTTAACAGATGGAGCAGTCCCCGCCCCCCATCACAAATGGCACACCTGCCAGACTTTGCTTCATCTTCTCCATCCCTTCTTTATCAAGGAGGACGTGTCCTCTCTCCTCTCAAGAAGGTATCTCTCTACATGAGCAAACCTTCTCAAGGAAGTTGGCCCTTTAATTATCAGCTCTCATTCCTGCACCTTCACCTTCCAGAATTTTCTACTGGGCCACTTCTGTGCGCACACAGATATGCTCTCGTGTCTCTCACATTAAAACAGACAATACTAGGAAATTCAGAAATGCATGTTCCTTCCCGCAGGGAGATCAGAGTCTTGTGGCAACTCAGAAATGTGATTGAAACTCTTGATCCCACTTCCCCTTCACCTCTAGGTCCAAGCTTCAGACATTTGTTTATTTGTCTGTGTGGTATCTCTATCTCTCCTTCCTCTACTTCATACAGCAACAAAAGTGTTCTTCTTAAAACAAATGAGATCATGTTACTTCTCTGCTTAAAAATTCTTCAGTGGATTCCCCTCACATTCATCATAAAATCCAGAATCTTTACCATAACCCACAAGGCCTTGCTTGACTATGATCTTTGTCTGTCCTTCCAGGCTCCCTTGTTTCACTTGTGCATGCTTTTCATTCACTGGCTCGTTGATTCCTTGAACACGCTAAGCTTTTTCCCTGCCTTAAAACCCTTGAGGCTGCTGTTCCCTCTGGCTGGAACGTTCTCCCTTCCACTCTGCATAGTAAGTGCCTCCTCATCCTTCAGCTGTCAGAGAGGCTGTTCATCCTGATCTCCCAGTCTACAGTGGGTCTGCCCTGTTCACCTGCTCTCTTGTTTTGCCCATCGCCCTCACTAAACTTCAGCTTCTTGAGGGCAGGAGCTATATCTGTTTTGTTCCCTACTGTACACGGAGATCCTGACAAAAAGTAAGACTCTATTATTTGTTATTTGTTATCTGCAAATAATATTATTATTTGCAGATAGTTCACAAAGAGAGAACACAAATATTGCTTTGAAGTGGTACATGCCTGTCCCTTCAGAGTTTGCATTAGAAATAACCTTTTACCCATTTTTCCAGCTGAATTCCAAAATATCTTCCCATTGGAAGGACTCCTGAGTATTGTGTTAGCCAGTAGAATGTCATAGAATCGTCATCCATTTGGAAGGAACATGATAAATATTTAGTTCATTCCCTTACATCCAAACGGGCTTGCTTTTAAATATCTCCAGAGAAGCTCAGTAACTTCTCTGGTAGTAAGTTTTGTCGTCTTAGAGTTCCTGAATGTAAGGAATCCTAGTGAATCACCTAATCCAAATTTTTCCTGGTAGAGTTTATTACATTTTTGTCTTTCTTTATAAAGCCCAATCACTCATCATTACCAATTGCTATGATTTCATATTTTTGAGGAATGAATATTCTTTCTTATTAACTATTTCTTTAGAACTTTTAAGATAACTTAGGTTATCATTGTTACAACTAAACAATAAATATATACCGTACTAATATTTTAGTAACTGTAAATGTGACGAGGGTGTTGTTTCTCAGGTCTGCCCCCCAGTGTCATCCTTTTTTTAGGCAATTTTTAAATGTAATTATAATTGTGAAAAATTAAATTAGTAAATATTGCTTGAGAGTTGATCTAACGGAATTAAAACTGCTAACATAAAGGGTACTTTTAAAAATCCTTTTTTGTGGAAATTTTTAAACACACACCAAAAGTAGACAGAATAATGAACCCTCTCCTGTACCCATTCTCCAGCTCTGGTTGTCCACACTTGGCCAATCTAGCGTCTGTCCCAACTCCCACACACATACTCACATGCATGCTTTTTTTCCCCTGAAGTATTTTAAAGAGTAAATTTTGTACATCATATAATTTCACTACAAAATTTTCAACATGTATCCAACAGGTCAAGTTTTAAAAAAAAAAATAACATAAGCACCGTTATCACACTAAACAAAAATAATAATTCCTTCATATCATCCTATACCCAGTTTATGTTCATTTTCCTCAAAAATGTTATTTTACCATTGAGTTGGTACATATCAGGATCCAAACAAGCTCCACATATAGTATTCTATAATTGTTCCTTTTCCCCACCATCTCCTTTTTTGGAATCTTGGTAGATTTTGAACAGAGCCTTATCTGTCTGGTTCAGATTAGGTAGTTAATACGTAGCATTTACAGCTACATGGAATGAGCAGAAGTGACGCGACCTCAGAAAGCTCCACTTCTTTCTGTTGGGGGAAGGAGGCAGTTATAAGCACACTCTCAAGAGCAGAGGAAGGAAACGCAAACGCTGCGCTCAGAGACCAGAGCGGCTCTCACTGCTGTCACCTGAAGGAAGACTTGGGTCCTCAAAATTATGTTGTATTTATATCCTTCTCATGGAATAATGAGAATGTTCTGTAAAGAAATACAGACACCTCGGCTTACCTCGGGGTTATGTCACGATAAACCTTTCTTAAGTTGAAAATACCACAAATCGAAAATGCCCTTAATACACCTAACCTACCTAATATCTAACACCGCAAGTACACTGTAGAGTATTGGTTGTTTACCTTGTGATCGTGTGGCTGACTGGGCGCTGCTGCCACTGCCCAGGATCACAGGGGAGTATTGTACCACATATTGCTCACCTGAGGAAAGATCAAAATTCCAAGTACAGTTTCTACTGAATGCATATCATTTTTGCACCGTCATAAAGTCAAAAAATCATAAGTTGAACCATCGTTAGTCGGGGACTGTCTGTACTAAAAATGGTAGATTTTCACCTGGCTGATTCACAGGGGTTATGACGTCAAAGTGAGTGTATGAAGCAGAGAAAGAAAAGCTGATCATGGAGAAGCATGAGGTTACCTAGTGCTCTCTGGTGATTCCCACCACCTCCCAGCCCCAGAAAGCAGAGGTTAATGCATTTGCAGTACGTAGTGTAGTATCTGACTATAACATTAGAAATGCCAGATACAGTGGAAGCGCCTGTTAAACCTTAACTGCTGTAACCATCCTCATTCATAGAAGGAAGGAAGGGAGCAGGACCTTTTCAGCCGCAAATGCTTCTAGGACTAAGGAATAAGTAAGGGTTAAGGAAAGGACAGTGAAAGGATAGAAATATAGGTGCACAGGGGTTTGGAGGTGCTATCTTGACTCAGAACTTTAGCTAACATCTTATCCTGAGAAATTGAAGAGGTGCAAAGGAGAACAACTGCTGAGTGAACAGAATTTATAAAATTTTATGTTCTTTCCTTTCCTGTCTCTTTAAGTCCAAATTTGTATTTATCCATATACAGATACTCATTTTAGAGGAAAAAGGAGGAAAAAACTCCATTTTTTCAGTGTTCAGGGGTCTTGTTTTCCTGTTTGGCCTTCCTCTTTCATGGTGGCCGGTGAGGTGACTTAAAGTAAACACCTGGAGTAATCTTGTTTCTTGGATAGTAGATGGGACCCGTGTTGGGAAGGTTGGCTTACAGAAATCTGTCTTGCTTTTTCACACCACACTTTTCTATTTTAGGATATTCTTGTTGGAGTGCAACGTGAGGGAAGTACGAGTTGCCGTGGCCACCATTCTGGAGAAAACCCTAGACAGTGCCTTGTTTTATCAGGATAAGGTCAGTCTCATTTTTAAATTTTTATTTATACATTCTGTTTTTACTAAACGTTTTAAATTGCCCATAATAAGAAAGCCAAGGATTGGAATCTGGTAATTTTGCCATATAAAATGCACCTCCTGTGAACCAACTTTCTGATAAATGCCAGGGTAGAAGACATTTTGACTTTCCCTCCTCATATCCTGGAAACCAAGGTAGGCCAGGAATTGAGGTCTGCTTCGGTCTGCTTCAGGATTTTCTCTCTAGAAACCTTCCTTTTTTAAAGTCTTCTCTCAAGAATTTGTATTTGATCTCTCTGAATTGAGACTAAACTGGGCCTAGAGACTCTAATCTAGACCCATAGACATTTTGAGCCACCCCGGCTTTGTGTCTTTCCTCATGAGCTATTTTTATGACCTAAACCTTCAATTGTCAACAAAGCCAAATAATGCTGTTCATCCAGGGGCATTGGCCAGAATAGTTCCTTCATTGGTCTCCATTATTCCCTAACCTGTTCCTGCTGCTCTGATTTTTTTTTTCTCCTAACCTTATTTTCTATAACATATTTTCTGTTTCACAATGTCAAATATGCCAAAACAAATCATGGTATTTATTACCATCCTCAGTCCCCAAAGATTTTAAGACTTAGGGAAATTAATGACATATATTGTAAGTCTGATTATTTAATCGGTTATTAAGTGCTAGAAAATACAGCAGTTACTTCCCAAGTTTGCTGTTTTAAACAGCTGACACTACATGGAAAACTTTGAAAAATGTTATTTATTTTTAGAACTAATTGGCTCCTTATAAACATTGGCTGGAGGCATTGTGTCTCAATGAACTAAATGCAAATTCTAGGAATTGCTGCTTCAAGTTCAGTTGTTCACTTTGCTACACAACCTTGAGTAAGCCCTTTAAAGGAAATGTTTAATCCGGATACAGCACCTGGCACCCAAGCACTTTGTTCCTTCAACATTGCCTGCCCCAAGTGCACCACTAGACCAGAAAGCCTCAGGAGTTCCGCCAGTCCAGAATGAACCGGAGGCAAACTGGGACCCGTAGGAAGGACCCAGAAGAAAACTGCCAATTCCAGGAATCATCAGGAAGCTGAGGTTTGCTTTAAGGCTGTAGTTTTCAATCAGCTTAAACGGCAGAACCATTTTCCAATCAAAATCTTACCCGGATGCAGAAGAAGATATAAAATAGGTCATTGGGAGCTGCTTAAGATAGTTTGGATATCATTGCTCTGAAATACCCCTTTGGAAGTTTTCTAAGATACTTAACATAAGGACCTTCCTCCCATGTACCAACCCAGACAAAAGATAAAGGCAGAATTAGCACAGTCTGCCTCCAGATGGGCCCAGGCGAGACCGGCGGAACTCTCAAGGCAGGACTGCAGGTGGTAGAAAGGGAAGGAAATGGTGGAGGACGCAAGCGTGGACGCCGTTCCACTTGCTGTCGCTTTTTCCCTCATGATGGAAACGGTGCCTCTTGCCCCCACTTTGTATTGTAAAGTACTTTGAAAATGAAGTGCTGTATAAATGCCAGACTTTACTGTATTTATAATGGGTGTGACAGGATGAATGGGAGTATTTTAAAAGCTTATAAACGCCATCTCTGGAGAAAATAACAAGAGTAGTAAGCTTGCTCTTAATTTTCAGATCATCACAGGTGAATTCTAGGGACTTATCCAAAAACACTTGGGACGGGAGGGAAAGAAGAAGCAATGTAACCAAAATGGTTTCTAAACAAATAAAATGTTTTTCAAAGCTTTCCATGAGGCGTCAGCGGGCTTTCAAGTAAGTTCACAGTTGAGTTGATATTGCCGTTGTCATCCTGTCAGGCTGTTGCTCTCCATTTGCTCCATTGGCTTGATTTCTAGCCCCTATGCCTGTGTCTGTGTTTTTTATTCTTTGCATCTGTGATTATGTGAAGAAGTAGCAGAGTGGAGGGAGGGATCCAGAAATACGTTTCCTCTAACCCCCTCCTTTTTTCAAGAGAGACGAGAGAAATTGGCTCTGCAGAAAATGTACCCATTAGGCAGTGGAATCATGCCCTTGACTCTGAGATCTAGGAAACAAAACTAGGCTTTCCTTTTCATTATTTCTACAGTACCATTCTTCCCCTGGAAGGTAAAATTGATCATTCTGTTTTTGCTCTCCAAAGCATAAATCCATCTGAATCTGAGACTGGATTGTGTATGAACCAGACTTTCCTTTTGTTCTTATGGTGACTGACTTCCAATTAACCCTGTTACAAATGTCTGTCTTACATTTTTTCTTTATGTACTTTCATCTTTCCTCTAACCAGTTAAAAAGCCTTCACCAGTTACTGGAGGTACTCCTTGTTCTGTTGGATAAAGATGTCCCAGAAAATTGTAAAAACTGTGCTCAGTACTTTTTCCTGTTCAACACTTTTGTACAAAAGGTAAATGATTTTCTTCTAACATCTTTTCCTAATACAGCAGATTGATAGTGTAAAGGAATTTTGTACGTGTAAAGAATTTAGACTGGTCAATATAGAATCTATAGGATATGGTTTTATGACTGTTAATTCTTAAAAACCTTAATTCATGGATCATATTACTAACAAGAATTCGGATACAGTTTGGTGTACTTATTCATTGACCACAGAAGTCTGTATTAAAACTAGTGTCTAATTACATGTTTTGTAGCCATTATGAAGCAATGTGAGACTGTTGGAACTCGAGTTTTTTTAATTTGATTTTTAATAGACATTTTCTGTATGTAAATTATAACATTTAAAAACTTACTGACTCCTTAAAACTTCTCATGTAACTGTTTTTAAAACTAATTTTTGTCTGGATAGGAATATAATTTGTCATTCTCAATATCTTATAACAGCAAGGTATTAGGGCTGGAGACCTTCTCCTGAGGCATTCAGCTCTGCGACACATGATCAGCTTTCTGCTGGGGCCCAATCGACAAAACAACCAGGTAATACCTACTGTTCCAGCCCAGTGATGGCCATGGTTGTCACAGCCACTTGGTTTCTCTGTGGGTGAGACATATTTTTAATTTCATTGTAGTCCAGGTACTGGTACTATATAGACTTTAAAATTCTTTATAGTTCAATTATTTGTACAGCTTTTTTGTAGCGTTTCCTAGTAATAACCCATGGAAATGACTAATTGGAGTATCAGTCAAAATGTGAAGTGTCATAGGAAACATGGGTTCTGACTGGGCAGATTCAAAAACCTGCAAGGAATGGTGGCATTGGGTCTTCCACTTGCTCTCTGGGACTGTGAACAAAGCTGTTTGGGTGATGGTTGCTTCTGGGGTGCTGATAACAAGGCCAGATTCAACTGTGAAATTTACTGTTACACACTGAAAGATGTTGCAGCAGATACACTACTACTTATATTCAGAAAATGAAAGGAAGTTGTTTTGTAATAATATTAGGGTTAGATATGTGAAAATGACTCTCCTGTTTAAAGTTTCTGTGTTGGTGTGTTTCTCCCATCCATTACACGTACATTTCTTTTGTTTGATAGATTAAAAAGACACAAAATGTGAACATGCAATAATGATAAATACTATTTATGGTATGCCTGTTATGTGCCAGACACAACTGGTCACTTTATATGCCATACCTCTGATACAATTCAGTAAAACAGGCAGTTTTATCCCCATTCTTAGGCAGGAGTTACAGCACAGAGAAGTTAAGTGACTTTTTCAAGGTCACAAAGCTGAAGCATTGTGGAGCCAGGATTCAGAACCAGCTCTGGTTTCCCCTGGATGTGATGCACCACATAGGAGAATTTTTCCCTTCGTTAGGAGAAATAGACTTGCTGCTTAGGCCTCCTCTCAGCTTCCTGTCGACCACCATGCTGCGAGGACTTTTCAGGGTTGAAAAGCAAGGACTGACGCCATAGCCTGCTCTGTGTAGGGATATTATGTGGAGATTTACAATATCCATTTTTCACTTCAAGCTCTTTTCCCTCAGGGACTCCATTGACAATGATGATTGACTTAAATTCACTAATTCAGCTTCACATATAATCAGTATTGTTTTACATTTATGGAGCATGTAGCATTGCGAACATTTTCACTTTTAAGGTTTCATTTGGTCCTCACACCCTCAAAGTGGGCAGCACAGGTAGGTTGTGTCTGCCATTACACAAAGAGGTTGGGCAGTGTTACGGGGAAGAACTTGCCCACATCCACACAGCACAGTGAGTGGCAGGGAAGGGCCAGGCCTTCGGACCTCCAGCCTCATGGGTTTTCCCCATTATACTGAGGTACAGGAAGATGACCTGGCAGATGGAAGCACTCAGTACCTAAACTGAATACATGAAGGGATTTGTTTTAGAATCTGAGTTAATATATCTAAGGGGAAAAACACTCTTAAGGTAGCTTAAAACCTGTGACTTTTTATACTTTGACCTCTTTTACTATCAAACGTTGAGAAGTAATTGTGGCCCAAAATATCATGAATCAGCACATCCTTTCCCTTCGTCTTCGTGGTATTTCTAACTGAAACACCAACATCCACTTTATGTTCTTTGACAACAGATACGTCGATGGAGCTCGGCACAAGCACGAGAATTTGGGAATCTTCACAATACAGTGGCTTTGCTTGTTTTGCATTCGGATGTCTCTTCCCAAAGGAATGTTGGTAAGCTTCAGCATACCTTTAACACAGAAAAATGAAGAGATGCCGAATTTATCAATAATGCACAAGAGCAATAACGTTAGCAATTAAAAGGATATTACTTACTTCTCTTTTGGCTATTTGATAGTTGAGGAGCACTTAAAATTTTTTGTTTTAATTCATGTTAAATTTCACCTTATTTTACCTAGTTTATCTCAAGAGAAAGTCAGTCATTTACTTGAGGGGAGGGATATTAACTGTTAAAAAAAAAACATAAAACCTCTAGAATTAAAAGCTAATTTGGACTTTATTCATTACCATAATTGACACAACTAATCCAGTGGTAAAATACCCAAGGTGTGGGTTGGAGTCTTCTAGCTGTGTGAACTTGACCAAGCCACCTGATCCTCAATACAAAACGGGAATATTAAAAACATAACCCCCCAGGTATACTGAAGATTAAGGTTAAAGTACTTTGTAAAAATAAAGGGACTTCAGATGTAAATTAAGTCTTTGAAATGTATTTGAATATAAGATGTAGTTGGTAGCATTTCCTACTTTGTCACCCAGAACCAATAGTTCAGTCCTCATTTAATAGAGCAAAAGCACAAACTGTCCTATATCATTATCCACTGTTCTAACCTGTGTGTGTGCTATGTTTTGGGGAGTGTGTGTATGTGTGTGTGTGTTATGTTTTTATACTGTTGCTAGGCCTGGTCATGACCGTACCAACAATTGCAATAATAACACAACAAAGCAACTAAAAAGTATTCAGTGTTTTCTGTGTTCTCTGCCTTTCCGTGGTGCTTTAAGTTTATTCATTGTTTATAATCCCCTCAAAAAACCGATGAGAGGCGTATTATCCCCTTCTGTAAATGAGGAAACTAAGATAGAGGTTTGATAGCTTCCACAAGTCTCACAGCTAGTAAGTGGCATAGCAACCAGTATGTGAATGCAAGCCTCTGACCCCAGAGGCTGTAGTAGGGTTTTACTGTCCTCCAACCAGTGAGATCTGCACACAGGAAACCAGATAAAAACCACTGCACATCACTGATCTTGAAACCCTTAATGACTCTAAAGTGACATTGGTGGAGCGCTTGGATAGTTGTGAGGTAGAGTTTGCTTCCTAAATCTGATTCATTCATCAAAAGACAAGGCCACGTATTTCATTTTTCAGATACGTTTGTAAAAGAAAATTACAGTACGAGTCCTTGTTTTCCTAGCAAATGCGGTGACCCCTTTCATGCAGTTGATTATGCTTAGCGAAGGTGGTGTTGGCCATTATTTGAGGACAGTTGTTTGAGGAACAAAAGTTTCATGTCCAGTGTCTCTTCAGAGTCATATTGGACATTTTTCTTCATATATAATTTATATTTTTGCTTTTTTGAAGGATTGTCTTGGGTGGGAATTACTAGGACTCTAGAGGTCTTACTAGTCAAACATACAGCTTAGGCAGGCATTGTAAGAAATCGGTAAACATTTTCTCCTTTTTACATGTCTGGCTTCCCCGCTGGACTGTGAAGGAACAGGCTGTAATACTCAGCAGTTGTGTGTGTGAATCTTCACAGAATCTCTTTACCTTGTAGATGGCTGTTTCATGAAATAAAATCAAGTGAGACAGGTTTTGTTTCTTTGGTCTATAGCTCCTGGCATATTTAAACAACGGCCTCCGGTTAGCATTGCCCCCTCAAGCCCCCTGCTGCCCCTCCATGAGGAAGTAGAAGCCTTGCTGTTCTTGTCTGAAGGGAAACCTTACCTGTTAGAGGTATGTATTTGTTCTTCTAAAACCATTTTCTTTTTATTTCTCCCGCATGAGGAAAAACACCTTTTGTTATTAGTTATATTTTCTAATGAAGAAGAGTACTGTGAAGAGAAGAAATGAGTTTTTCAAATTAGTTTTTCTTCTTATGTATGTATCAGAAAAATCAGTTGAGAATATTAGTCCTCTCTGCCCCCAAGAATTGGACCTCCACGTCCAGCCCAGATCATCACCCGCTAGGTCCCAGGGGGTACATGGCATTTCACCAGCCACAATTATTATCAGAGGGTTTTGTTCCCAGTTTCTCTTGTGTGTCCCTGGTCCTGGAATACTACAGCTCTGAAGCACACATGATTTTAAACCTCGGGAGTGTGGGAGTGGGCTACTCACAGCCCTCACTGTGCACACACTCTGTGGCCTGTCTGCAGCCCAGATCACTTCGCCTTCTACCCAGAGCCGCCCTTTCTTGAGAATTTAATCTTGCAGTCCTTCTGTATGAACAGTATATCATACTGGTTTTTTAACAACATAAATGGTACTGTGCTGTGAATCTTCTTTTTTTATGTTTAACGTGATGTATTTTTTGGATCTATCAGTAATTATTTTAAGTGGGGGAACATTTACCTTTGAAAATCGGATGAAAATGACTCCCAAGAAAAATGCATATTTGCACAAAATTGTGTTAAATTTCAGACAGACCTAGATGCCCTGAAATCTCTCCATAGGCCTCTAATAGTTAAGAAACCCGATTTTCAGGCAGTGTTGCTGACAGTAAATCTGATTAAATTTCAGTTAAAGCCAGAAAGAACCTATCGACAACTGACAGGAGAAAAGCTTATTTCTTTTATATCCTTCCACTAGGTAATGTTTGCTTTACGAGAGCTGACAGGCTCACTCTTGGCGCTCATTGAGATGGTGGTGTACTGCTGCTTCTGTAATGAGCATTTTTCCTTCACTATGCTACACTTCATTAAGGTAAGACCGCACTTAAACCTAGTGATAGCCTGGTAGCCAGCGCTTGAGACTTTGCTTATTAGAAGCAGTCCTTTGCTTCTAATTAGTATGCTTCTTTTAATAATCTTAATTGTTCTTCCTAATCATAAAAATAATATAGCCTTCTCAAAAAAAAAATGAAGAATAAAGAAAGAACTCAGAATCCCATCATTCATTGATGATCACCGTGAACATTCTCTTACGTTTCCCTTTTATTTTCTGTGCATGTATTTTAACATAATTGGGAATTTATTGTCTTTATGATTTGGTCTTTTTTCACTTGACATTGTAAGTATTTCCCATATCATTAAAAATTATCTGCAAATATAATATTTCATCCTTTCATGTACCATGATTTACCTAACCGCTCCCTTCCTAATGATACATATTTGCATTTGGTTCAATTTTTTACTATTAAGAATACTTTATAGTTCATAATGCTGTAGTCACCATTATTGTGTAAAATGTTTTCCAGTCACAGATTAATCCCCTCCCACAGCATTTTAAAAATCAAAAGCAGGTTTTTATCACCTTCTGAAATAGTGATATAGTTCATTATGAAGCTCTGATCAATATAATAATTACCACTACTTATGCTGTAGTCACTCGATATCACACACTTTGTGTGTTGTAGATATATACACAAAGTATATTATATATTTAACTCAAGGAGTCTGATGAGGTAGATACTATTATTATCACCATTTTACAGCTGAACAAACTGAGGCAGGGACTAAATAACTTGCCCAGGGTCACAGAACTAGTAAGCAGCAAAGTGGAGATTTGAACGTGGGCCGTCTGGCTCCAGGGCTGCACTCTTAACCATATTGTTTACTGCCTTTCCAGGGATTACTAGAAAAACCTTTAAGCCTATACACATACTATTTTTATTAGTTTTTAATCTTTAATTTTTCATTATATGACTAATCCATGACTGCATTCTTTTTGTGAAAAATTAAAACATACAAATAAGGCCAAAGTCCACTTTGACCAACACCAGCCAGTGTTTGTCCCCTCTCCACCTTACCCTACAGACCAATACTGTCACATCCCAGGCTTCCTTATGTAAGTGTGCACCATAGGTAGTTTCTGCCCACAGAATTTCTGCCGCACCCTCTTAGCTGCACCAGGATTTGCAATAATGATACACGTAGTGTTAACAAACAGCGGTAATAGATGGATTGTCTTCCAGCCCTTACTAGATTGTGTTTTGCCCTCAGCCTTTTCGGTACAGACCTGTATCAGAGGTGGCTAAGTTCCTCTCTTTCCTGTTTACTAATTATATGACCTTGGGCAATCTCATCCTCTGCAAATGGGAGCAAGTGTGACTTAACTTCACAGATTGTGAGGATTCAGTGAGGTGCGTGGTATGTGAAGTGCTTGCCTAGTACCAGACCTGACACCTGGGAAGTGTGGTACTGTAATGCAGTGCCCTTTTTAGTTCGTATCCATAGATGCATAAGGTTATTAAAATGCACAGAGCAATGTGTTTTCAGAACCTTGCTTTCTTCACTTAGTGTGTCTTGGCAGATTTTGCTATTTATCAGCTGACTTTTATCTTACATACTTCACTCATAGCATACTTATCGCAGAGTATTCTCATTTGCATTCTCATAGCTACACCAGCATATTCTGGGAAACAAAATAGGATAGGTATAAATGAAATGTAAATGTAAATTTGGGTCCGTTTGGTGACTTAAAATTCTCTTCTTCTGCCCTTCCCCCTCTCCCCTTCCTAATTCCTTAGTAAAGTGTCACAGAGCGTTGCAGCTGGGAGGACCACAAAGGTGGTTTCAGTTCCTAGATTTAGATTTGGGGAAACTGAGACCCAAAGAGAGGAACTGACCTGCCCAAGGTCAGCCAGATAGTGGTAGAACTAGGGCTTGAATCCAGTGTTGTTGACTGACACTCCTGTGTGGTTTCCACTGAAGACTTAACTGGAATTTTTATGCTTTTAAAAAATTTTTCAGAACCAACTAGAAACAGCTCCACCCCATGAGTTAAAGAATACGTTCCATCTACTCCATGAGATATTGGTAAGTCATAAATGTTCTGATTCATTTCTATTAGGTGTGTATTAGTCAGCATTATTTACAAATAAAAAGCTTTGTGTCCTTCTGTTTTTCCATTCATTTAGTCTGCACTTACTGAGTCCTCTTCATAGCAGTCATTTTTTTGTGCATGACTGATTTAGAAGTGAGCGATAATAAAACTCCACCTCATAGGGGCTCACAGTTTAGTGAGGGAGCTAGACAGTCCACAAGCAATTGTAGTGCAGAGAGCAAGGGAGTAATGGATGGCCCTGCTATGGGTAGGAAACGACTAAGCACAAATATCTTGTTGAAAACTCACAGTAACTATCAGAGGTAAATTGCTGGCTCTACAGATCATTGAAATATTAAGGCACCGTTGATTGGCTGATTGTCATCGTGCTGCTAAAAGCATTATTTAGGAGCCGTGAAACTAAAATGTAACTGATGGTAGGATACATCCCAATTTTGGAAATATAAAGTGCAGGGGGAAAAAATTCAGCTATAATCAGTGAAATGCAGTATCACATTGGAAACTGGAACTTAGAGAGGTGGAGTGATTTGCCCACGGCCATCTTTAATAAGTTACAGACCAGGATCTGAGCCAAGCAGCTAGCTCCCCAGCCCATGCTCTCCACCTGCTTTGCTTGTGAACTGGAAGTGGTATGACAAGGAGTGGGAACTGAGTTGGGCTTGAGGAAAAGAAGTCCAAACCAGATCCGGAAAGGCTTCAGGTACCAGTGCACGTGGACTTTGTACTGCAGGCCAGAGGTTGCCACTGGTGCCTGGTAGCTAAAATCTGTCTATATGTCTGTTTGATTTGGCCCAAACGGTTTTGTAACCTCTGCTGTCAGTGCTGGGGAGCCATGGAAGGGTTTTAAGCAGGAGAGTTATGTGACCTGATTTATGTGTTAGAAGAATTCCTCTGGCAGTGATTTTGAAGGATGGACTAAAGAGGGAAACAAGGTTGGACTTGGAAGACCATATAGAAGCCTGTGGCAGTGGTCTGAGTGTGAGCTATAACAAGGCCTGTACTGAGACAGAGTAGGAGGGGGCAAAGGACAGAGCGAGAGGTGTTTGGGAAAGAGAATCAATAGAATTTGGTGACTGCTTGTGAGCTGATGAGAGAGATTAGCCCAGGGGCACCTTAGGGAGAGCGGGGAGGGACTGGGTTCCCATTAGATCCCTACAGCTTTAATGTACGCTTTGGCAAAGGGTAGACTTTTAATTAATACTTTTGAATAAGGAAATACATCATGAAAACCATTTACAAAAAGCCTGTCTTTCTGGTCCTTTACCTCCTTTTGGTCCAAGTGCTTTTACAAACTTTGGAAGGTTGTTGCTCCACAGGAGTAGGGCTGTGTATGGTTCTTCTGCTCAACAGCAAACCCGTTTAGTTACCTGCATGGTGCACAGCTGGCTGACAGGCACTAGAAATACAGTGAGAGCGAGACAGACCCAGCCCTGTGTGGCAGGGCATAAACCTCCACATCAGCTGATAGAGCCGGCATCGTAGCAAAACTTGGACAGGTTTTTGGTAAATAAGTGAGACCTCTAACCTTTGGGATCATGAAATATATGTCCGTATAACCCAGAGAACTGTAGGTGGTGTTGGTAAGAACACATCACTAGGAAATGAATGGATCCTCAAACGTTACTTAATATTTCCCATCTTGAGTTTAAAATTTAAGATATTGTTGAGATATATGGCAGTGGCATTATGTTTGTTTGTATTAGGTTTTGTTCAATTAGAAACAAAATTAATCTCTTGAATTATATATTTTTTAAAGGTACCAGTGACTCTAACACAAGTTTCTTCTTTCATTGACCAGTCTTGTTTCCTTCCTCTCAAAGGTCATTGAAGATCCTATACAAGTAGAGAGAGTCAAATTCGTGTTTGAGACAGAAAATGGATTACTAGGCAAGTATGCGCGGCCTTGGTAGTAAATGTACAGATACCTGTTGTCGCATCCGGCCTCCCCCCTGACAGGTCTGCCCCCCTCCCTGGCACATATCAGCGCATGGTCCAGCCATTGGGCTCCCTCATCGCGTCGTGAGGATTAAAACCAGAGGACCTCATCACCCTGGACAGGCCTACTTTTAGTCAGTAAAGTGCAGCTTGAGGTCTTTTACTGGGTCAGATAAGATTTAGAGGCACTGTGACTTTTTTCAACAAGCCAAAGGCCACTTTGTTTATTTATTTTTTTAAATTGGAGAATTGGGGGAGGGGAACAGCGTTGGGGAATCGGGGAAGGGAAACAGACAAGTTGCTGTCCTTTTGTTCTTCAGTCTAGTTGCGGAGGACGTTGCTTCACTGGCCCATGTTGGTATTATCATTGTGCTCTTCCTGGCTGAGGCAGTTGCTCGCCGGCCATTGGACGGCGGCTCACGGCAGCTCTTGCCGGCTGCCAGCCACTCACGGTAGCTCACGGCAGCCCAGCTCCAGGTCGAGCTGTTGTTCACCATCTTAGCTGTAGAGGGCACAGCGTCACTGGCCCATGTGAGAACCAAACCGGTGGCCCTGCTGCTCAGAACTCGTGCTCCCAAGCCAACTTCAACCAACTGAGCCACTCAGCCGGCCCCAAAAAGCCACTTTCTGATGCAGGAAATCTTTTGTTTAATTCTGTAGCCATTGGGGAGGAAAAAGCTAAAACCTCAGACTCGGGATATTGTCAAGTTCATGAGGTGATTGGTTTTTTACCTGTGCTATAAATGCACCAAAATTTCTCTTGTCTACTTATAAAAGGTTTTGGGGAGTTTTCTTCTTCAGAAGACTAAAGTGGCTTTAGTGAGCTATTTCTTAGAAAAAGTTTGGTTAAAAATAGCCTTATTCAACTCCCACCATCCACTTGTATTTCCACTTTATCTGAGCCATTTTAGATTTTGCTATGTGTTAAGAGAAGATTTAGGACCTCCTTTCATTGCACAAAAGAAACAAGCTAAAAAAAGTTCTGTAGCTACAACATTCTAGCCACCCCCGCCCCAGAACTGTGTGCTCTTCTCAGAGCAACCCTGAGCTCTCTGGCACTTACAAACCATACACACCTCAAGAGCAGGGACGAAGTATTATTTACCTTTAAATCCCCATAGCCCAGAACAGGAAATATTTGTTGGACTGAACTAACAGCATGAATTTCCATTTATCAAACTAAAAAGTGTTATAACTACTCTTCCTTCTGTCAGTGTGGTGGATGGAAAAGTTTGGAGATCTCTAGGTAAATAATCAGCCAGTATAAATTTTAATTCTATTCAGTTCTCCTAAAAGTCAAACTTCACCATCACATGTTTCTTGAATACCACTTAGTGTTTCTAGTCATTAGAATTTGGGGGATTCTATTGATCAGCGCCACCATGCTTTTAATTAAGTCCCTTATCTGCTTATCAGAGTAGCTTGTTGTACATTTTCAGAACGAGAGAGCTGGTATTACTTGGACCTGCTGTGAGTGCATTGCGTGAATGTTGACATGTCCTCTCCTCTCCCTGTAGCTCTGATGCACCACAGTAATCACGTGGACAGCAGTCGCTGCTACCAGTGTGTCAAATTTCTCGTAACTCTTGCTCAAAAGTAAGTACTGATTCAAAATGCAGGGAGGAAATGGTGTTTTTAGCTACAAGTCAAATATGATGAGAAAAAAATCTGCCTTGTTTTAGTACCTAGAGAGTCTGACTCAGGGCCTGCTTGCTTGGATGGTATAGAAACCTATTCAAATGATCTCAAAGAGACGTGAAGGTGAGGTGTTAAAAGAGTAACAGATCTTATGGAATCCAAGAAAAAAGGCTAATCCACCACGCTTTGTGCAGGAAGGGCAGGAATCAAAGCGGACTTGGGGACCTTAACAGCAAGAGTCCATGTGCCTGCACTCGCGATATCTTTCATTAGTGTAAATTAACTACCAACTCTTTCAGGTTCTAGGTCCCCACTTTCAAAATAGCCTCTCAAGAGACAAAATCATGTTACAGCTGCTTACATTTGTGAACCCAGGCACTGTGCTAAATGCTTTGCCTGTATTCTCATTTAATTTTTGCAACAGCTGTGAGGTTAGGTACTGTGATTAGACCACATCACAAGTGGTCTAAGTGACATGCCTACAGTCAGAGCTAGGACTTGAGCACAGGCTGATTGACTGCAAACAAAGGTTACTTTTTCTTTTCTATTTAATTGTGGTAAAATATACATAACATAAAATTTACCATCTTAACCTTTTTTAGGTGTACGGTTATGCCATTAAGGACATTCACATGCAGCCATCACCACCATTCTTCTCCAGAACTTTTTTCGTCTTCCTCCCTGACACTCCGTACTCATTAAACAATAACTCCCCATTCTCCCTCCCTCCAGCCCTTGGCAGCCATCATTCCACTTCCTGTCTCTATGAATTTGACTACTAGGTACCTTATATGAGTGGACTTATATGAGTGGACTCATACAATATTTGTCCTTTTCTGACTGGTTTATTTCACTTAACCTGATGTCTTCAAGGTTTATCCATGTTGTATCACATGTCAGAATTTCCTTCCTTTTTTAAGGCTGAATAATATTCCATTGTATGGATAGACCATATTTTGCTTATCCATTCACCTGTTGATAGACACATGGAAAGCAAAGGTTCTCAATGTTAGAAGGAGCCTTAGTGGTTTGCTGCTTTAGTGCCCCTGTTTGGTACATGGGCAAACAAAAGATCAGATCAGCGCGACTGCATGATAACCCAGGGTTATTGAGCAGACTACACTGCCACCTCTGAGTCTTGCCCTGAGCCTTCTTTATAGCTTACTTTATTTTGCTCCAGATATTTGCTGAATCTTAGGCATGGGTATTACCATCCTTGGACTTGTACCAAAATAAGAATGAGAAATCTGTTGAACTTAATCTGCTGCATTTGAGGATCCTAAGAAGATATAAATGAGAGCCCTACTGAAATAACATATGAACATGCATTTTCCAGATGATACAGCATCAGCATTGTGGACACAGATGGAGATCATCCTGCCACAATTGTGGGTTCATTAATTAGGCTTGATATTGGCAGCACATTAGCATAAGTATTTGCCCAAGAGTGGCATTTCCAGGTAGTGTTGGGGCCACAAAGTATGTCTGATGCCAGCAGACACACAGCCCAGATATCAGTGTCTTTATATGTGTTTCCATATCCTTCACATATACATGTTATACACACACTAGTGGCAATATCACCATCAGTACTGTCTTTACATATGAAGGACAGCTTATTGGATGGGCAAATAAAAATGGAACAAAAAAGAGGGGCCCTGAGACCATGTTTAAAAATAATACCATTCTTATTCAGATCACAGAAATGAAAGACTAGTTTGTTTCTATCAAGAGATCATTTATTAAATGTATAATTGTTTGTGGGGGGTTTTATTGTTGTTTTCTTCATTTTTCAACATTGAATTTTAAATAGAATTGAATAGATGAATTAGAGATATATAAGAAACTTTTCACTTCATATTTACCTTTGACTGCCTTTTGAAGTTTAAACATGTGAACTTTCCCAAGCCAAAAATAAATTTAATATAAACATAACTCAACTTTAATGAAAGATGCATTTGTGTTTCAAAATAAAAAGGTGCTATCAATTAAACAAGTATATTTGCCAAGAAAGTATTTGGCTAATAAAAATCTCCTCCCGTTGCCAGGTGTCCTGCTGCTAAAGAGTACTTCAAGGAAAATTCCCACCACTGGAGCTGGGCTGTACAGTGGCTTCAGAAGAAGGTAATTGCATTTGAGACTTTTCTGGCTGTACCAGGAATCAATAGCTGGATGTCTTATCAGGAAAGATCTCTTAAACTTAATTTGAGACTGGCCTCAAGGTATTTTCAGACTTCAGACTTTTTTTAGTACAGTTAATACCTATTTTTATGCATTAAATTTGTGCCTTAATACATGTGTCTTAACTTTATAGGAGAAAAAGTAGGGATGATTATATAAGAAGTAGCATTTTACTGAGCTTTTGAGAGTAGAAGTGAAATCTTCCAGGAAAGAACCTCCTGATGTGACAGAAGGTCTGGGTAGATTTATTTGCTGCGTTAGGTGCTTTTATACTCTACTACTTAATAGTAGAAATTGTGGACTCCTGTGCGCTTATTTGTCATCCGTGATGGCATTTTTGACCTTCCATCTCAGATGTCAGAACATTATTGGACACCGCAGAGTAATGTCTCTAATGAAACATCAACAGGAAAAACCTTTCAGCGAACGATTTCAGCTCAGGTGAGGCTTATCTTTTTTGGTTTTGTGTGGTTTAAAATCCCTCAGGTAGGACTTTTAGTGTTTCTCAGACACTGCAGCCTCAGAGAAGAGAGTTATAGGTTGAAAATGAGACAGGGCAGAAGAAATGATTGAATTTCTATGACAGGATACCAAGTTGGTGTACAGTTTGCAAATTATTTGCCATGAAGAAAAGCGGTGTGCATTTGTCAGTCTGGCCCCTGTATGCCAGATAGGTTGAGGGGTGCTCTGGGGGCTGCCATGAGGGCACCACCCTCCAAAGGTCAAGTAGAAAGGTAGTCTTCCTTGGCAGTGCTGCTGCCACTGCATAGTCCCTAACATTTTCTTCTTATGTTTAAATCTCCCGCAGGACACATTAGCATATGCCACAGCTTTGCTGAATGAAAAAGAGCAATCAGGAAGCAGTAATGGCTCAGAGAGCAGTCCCGCAAATGAGAACGGAGAGAGGCATTTACAACAGGTATAAACTGTAGGCATGTCCCTGTGCGAAAGGGCAGCGCCTACTGTGAAGTTTTCTAGAAAGAATGTTCATAATCAGGAACAAAGGAGACACCAGCTCTGCCCTCCAGTGATCTCTGCTTCCGAAGTGGAACAGTGCTGCACGTAAAATTCATACAAGGCTTTGACCTCTGCCTGTGGCTGGCTGTTCTAATCAACGTGGAGATAGTCCTGATAAAGCCAGGCCACGGCTGTGTTCGTTCCAGCTCGTTCACCTCCTTCTGCTGTGTTATGAGAAACCACCCCCTCCAGCTTTTGCTTTCACCAGCCTTCCTGGAAACATGCCCTTGGAAAGAAGGGCCTCGTGCCATTGAAATGTACCTACTTGTCAGGGGAGTCAAAGAATAATTTGACGCTTACTTTAAAAAAAAAAAACATTTTCAATACTAACCACCATAGTAGAAAAAGGAGTGAAGGGCCGGCCGAGTGGCGCAATGGTTAAGAGCTGGCTTGGGACGCCAGAGAGCCCTGGTTCGGATCCCACATATTAGGGCCAGTGACACTGCCCTCTACAGCTAAGATGCTGAACAACAGCTCGACCTGGAGCTGAGCTGCTGTGAGTCGCCTGCGACGGCTTAGGCTGCAGCCCCTGCTGCAGTGGGTTGCCATGGGCTACCGTGTGTAGCCAGCAGCCAGTGTGAGCGGCCAGCAGCCGCAGTGAGCGGCCGTCCAGAAGCCGGCGACTGATCTGCCTCACCCGGGAAGAGCGCAATGATGGTGCCAACTTGAGCCAGTGAAGCAACGTCCTCCACAACTAGACTGAAGAACAAAACGACAGCAACTTGTCTGTTCCCCTTCCCCTAATTCCCCAGCACTGTTCCAATCCTCCCAACTCCCCAATTAAAAAAAAAAAAAAAAAAAAGGAGTGAAATACTTATTGAACACCTACTATATGCCAAAAAAAAAAATGAAGCAGGTATAAAGGTAATGACGTGTATGTGTCTTTTCTCTCATCTGTAACCTTCGTGAGGGCAGTTTCCTCTAGTGCCATCACAGTGCTTGCCAGGGGCCTCATTAAATGAATATTATTGATGCTGTGTGTGCCTTTTTTTAAAAATATTTCAGATCATGATAACAACCTTGTGAGATCACTATTACCCTGATTTTACAGATGGGAAACTGAGGCTCACCTACTTTATTTGCAGAGAAAATAAAAGCTATCGAAGAAGCGCTCCTACAGCTGCTGACTCCCAGACGTACAGCCCCCTGCGAGCCCCCGTCCTCATCGCTGCTCTTACAGGAGGGCTCCCCCTATCACCGCCATCCTGTCACAAACCGCACTCGCCCCCTTTCTCTCTCTCTCTGTCTCTCTTCCCGCCCCCTCTCTCTCTGGTATCTTGTACGTCTCCCTCCCAGCAGTGTTGGGACACACTCAGTTCTCTTCTATCTTTTAAAAAAACTCTCCCCCTTATTTCTGCCCCGTTTCCTCGTCACAGCCTAATGTCTCCAAAGAGTTATCAGAACTTAACTATCTTCATTTTCTTCTCTTTCATTTCGCCTCTTCCAGGCTGACTCCCTCCTCTCCAACTCAGCATCTGGGTGACAGGTGGCCTCATCTGAGTGACCATTCAGCAGTATCTGACTGCTGGCCACTCCTTCCTTTCTGAAACACACTCTCCCAGGGCTTCCATGACCCTCGCCCTCCTAGTTCTCCCACCCCTCCGGCTGCCCTTTCTCAGTCTCCTGCCCGATTCTGCCCCTGCTGGGCCACCAGTAGATGTGCTCAGTCTCTGTCTTGTGTCCCCTTGCGGCTTTCACACAGCCCTGCCCGAGTGCCGGACACGATCATCCAGCTCTTCTTCATGTCTCCACTTGATGTGTCTCAAAGACACCTCACACCCAGCATGGCCAGCCCCGTCCTGCACCAAGGCTGGTCCTCCCTCAGCGTTGCTCATCTCACAGAGAGCACCCTTGTGTTCAGGGTGCCATCCTGGACAGCTCCCTCACACGCTGCAGTCAGTTTCACCGATCCCAGCGAACTGATCTTTTAAACATCTCCCATCCATCTGTTCCCTCGTCATAAGCACCTTAATCTCCTGGATGTCTGTAAGAATCTGCCTGCCTCCACTCTTGCTTATGTCTAGTTTGCTTAAACCTTTCAATGGCATTTCATTGCTATTAGGATAAAGGCCAGAATTCTCAATGCAGTCCTGCTTGATTTGGCCCCTGCATACCTCTCCCGTCTCCTTTTCTGAGTTCTAGATACTGCAGCCTTCTTTAAGTTTATCAAATATACTTCCTTCCTTCCACCTCAGGCCCTGCCCCACTCACTTTGCAGAGAGACTTTCTCTGCTCCTCCCCACCCCATCCCCAGCTAGATCAGTTAGTGCATAAAGCAAAGGCCACACAGCTGGTGACAGGCAGAACTCAGACCCAGGAATGACCCAGAGCTGTCTGGCGGTGTGGCACAGTGTCTGGCACAAAGCAGATGTGGGGACGGCCAATGCCTCTCTGCTTTATTGCATTGCTCTCCAGAGCTCTAATGAGAGCTGCCTGCATTGTTGCGTGGTGGCATTGTGACTTTATGAGAACAGAGAAATGAAAGTTTTGTATAATCAGGAATTGCCAAATACAGGGTGTTACATTTTACTACCCTTTGGTAAACATGAAGTTGTTAAATGAGGACATGTTTAAACTATAGAACACCAGTAAGTCAATTGGCATAGAAAAAGCTTTTTCTCTAACTTGACTATGTTTGAACTTAACTTCCTTTTCTTTTCTCAAAGGGTTCAGAATCACCCATGATGATTGGCGAGTTAAGAAGTGACCTTGATGACGTCGATCCCTAGAGGCACGTGCACAGCAAAGAATGAGGAGTCAAGTCGCAGTTATGGGATGCTCAGCACCTTTTTGAAATCAGAATCTTGTCCTTGAACCCTTTAGAAGAGCCTGGAGATGGGACTGGGAGAGCCGGCTGTGGCTCTGGAGGCGTGTGTTGCTGAAGAAAGCGCTCTTAGGCCAGAAGGTTTGGGAGCTGTTTGGCGGTGGGAGAACTCCAGCCTGTGGATCAGCTGTCCCGGGGCACGATGCATATGTGGATTAACATTTCTGTGGAGATTTCATGAAATAAAGCCAATGGCAGACTTTTTTTGTTACATGAACATACAAGAGTGAGTGAGGGTAAAGCTGTTGCTTTCTCTATGATGCTACAGAAAAAAATTCCTTTGGTTTTTATATTTTAAAAAAAGCAAGCTGCCTTTAGATATGTGGGGACAAATTTTTAATCTTGCAGTAACATTGATTAGGGATACCCAATTTAAAATGATGTAAAGATATGTGGTAAAATTCCTTTTCGTTGTAAAATAGTAAAGAATTCAGTTTACACAGACCTTTGTATTTAATATGTCTCCCTATTTGTACAGAATTTCAGATGGGTCTGGATGAGAAGCCCTAGGCATAAACTTGGATCTTGATGAAATGTTACCAGGATCAAAAATTGGGAAATTACTAAGCTCTTTAAGGTATTTTTTTCAGATACAATTGAGATTGAAAAGAGCAATAAAAAAATATAAAAATGCTGTGTTCTCAGAAGTACAGGGTGCATTCTTTAACATCAGTCACTAAAGGAGTTATAAGTTTTTCCCAAAACAAATTTTAAAAACAGCAAAATAAAAAGCACTTTAAGATATAATTTTATTTTGACTTCATAAAATCATCTTTTTAATGCTTGGAGACATATTGAATAAACTGTAGTCTTAAATCATGTGATCTGCAATCATTTGCTTTTGCTTAAACATAATTGCTGAAACCCTTGGTACTGGTTGTACATGAAGTTAAATATTTGAGTTGGGAGACACTGCTTTGTGAGTTTCTAGTCATTTTAATGCAGACAAGGAATTTGAGACTGTTTCTACTCAACATGAGTAATTAACACTGAAAAGATAGGGACAGGATTTATTTTCCCAGAAATAACTAGAAAGCAATTAAACAACCATCCATTTAGTTGTAATTCCCAAGTATAACACCATTCACTCATTCAGGTTAGGTACCAGCTCCCCTTTGCTCAAGTGGAGATGGAGATACGCCAACATGTTTCATGGACTTTGTATTTTGAGTTGCCGCATTCGTTTTCAGTCTTGTTTTGCCTTCATTTTGAGTTCTACCTTGTTTTCAACTCACCACGCACAGAACTAGGGGAACCTTAGGAAGTGCCAGGTTGCCACTGTCAGATTTGCCAAGTCAAAGAGGTGCGGCCAGCCCCAAGTGCCTTTTTGGTGGCTTCTGCATTACATGGACATGTGACAGGACAGTCAAGTCTTCCTGGTTGTGCACTGTCAATAACTCAGTCATTTTACTACTGAAGGTTGAAGTTACTGTGCAGCCAATCTGCAGCATATAATCATGTTGACTTCCTGCAGGATAGTGGTGGCTTTTGTCAAAGGCATTGAGTAGATGGAGGGGCCAGGGGGTACGAGCAGAACTGTGCCCTCAGAGAAATGGTTGGAGGCAGTTGGCAAATTTTTTATGGTTCTGATGTTCTTGCAATTTTGAATGTGATGTTTTAAAATTGATTTTGAGTATGTAAATACTCCATGTCCTACTGTTTTCCTCTACCCCGCCCTTACCCTCCTCCCCATCACCATCCTCACCAAACGATTGTGTGGGACACGACATTGAAATGCCGGTGATGAGATGTGTTGGGATATCATCGCTGGCAGCTGCACTCAGGAGCCCAAATGCAGGAGTGAAATTGCCACTTCTAGTCCCTTATTTCCTATGGAAACCGCCTTCCACACCCCAGCACCTGCTGTCCTCACTGGAAAGCTCCATCAGGACTGCCGTCACTCTTGTGTTAGTTTTGCTTCCGTTGCTACCGCAGTGCACATCCCTCTCACTTTGCCAGTAACCACTCGATTTCCAATGGCTGCAGTCTACGAACCTGCTGATGACTTTTTTTTAACGTAGTACAACAAAGTGACAGTTGTGACAGGCTTACCTTGGAAGATTTGTCATTTTTACTGCCAATTTTTTGGATGAAGATGTTTTTATAAATCCTTCAAAATGGTCTACAAATCGAGTAGGAATTGCACAACTAACTCAATACTGTGTGTTCTCAAGAAGCTCCCTTCACGAGGCCCACCGTAGACAGCCGAGTCTGCACATTAGAGGCATTCCGGGAAAGAAAGCAGTGATCCTCCCAGCGAGCATCGCACCCATGACTTCTCCGGGAGCACTCACACGGTCACTGACAACTAGGACGAGTCGTAGGACCTAGAGCACCGCGTCATCAGACTTACCCAGTCTTGCCCCGCCCTCCCTGCTAACATCGATGTGTGTGCAGTTACCTTCTGAGCTTGGAACAAGCAGGCTGGAATTTTCCTCTGCTACCTCTTGTGTACAAAATCTTGTTTATAAAATCTCAAAGGGAAGTAGATAGACTGGGGAAGAATCTTAATTCTAAATTTGGTTTATGAATGGCAGCATTCTTAGCTTCTAAGGGTATAAAATAAATTTTTCAAAAATGGAGAGTTTGAGTCTCACCAACATTTTTCTGCATGTATCAGGAAAAAGAGCGGGGGCGCCAAGGGTGTGAAACGGTGCTGTGATTTCTTTTGCGCTGTATACTGGGGTGTGAAGGAGGTCTACTCTTTAGTCATGAGGGGGTGATGGGCCTTGGTCTTCTAAGCCTTTTGCTGTTCTTTCCCCTGGATAGCCTAACCATTTGGGGCATTCATTTGCAAAGCTTGTTTAAGGATACCCAACGCAGGCTGATGACCGGCTGACTTCTCCCTCATAGCTTTCAAGTCTCCCAATGAGTCCCGAGCAGAAACCATGTCCCTGGTCAAGCCTGGTTTCTTGCTACACCCCACGGGTCTCAGTCTCACTCCTCGTGTCCTGCTTTTGCACACATGGTTCCCGTTTCCTGAGATATGTGCTGCTCCAGCCCTCCCAGTGCTCCATGCCCCGTCCTCCCCCACGCCCAGTGGCCACCTGCCAACATCTACAAGAACCAAGCCGTTCTCTGAAGTCAGAGCTGCCAGGTGTGGCTATCCAACGACCTGACACTTGATTCTGGGCTATTTGGGAGTGGAGAGGGTTCTCGCATGGCACAGCAGGCAGAGGTGCCAGTTCCATAGGTACATAGCTCTTTTCTTGCATTCGGGCCATTTCCACCTGGCAGCTCTTGAATGCTTGCCATGACACTAAATTGTCAGAAAATAAGAGTTTGGGAGGATTTTTGCCTTTGCAGGCAGATTCTCTTAATTATGATAAGGGCTGTTGAGAGAGAGGCTTTGCTTAAGACAGCTTCACTCGCCAACCTGAGAGTCGGGGGTTGGGAGGTCCCACATTGAACGGGACAATTATACTTTGCAAACTGGAAATCCTGAGACTACTTAATTTCAAATCATGAAAAGGGATCATGAACGTAGTATAACTTGTTACAGAAGCATTGGGCACTCACACAAGTAACTTATTCCATGAACAATGGACCTGCCACGCCCCATGCCAGGTACTGGGGAGAGGAGAATGAAAAGGACACAGGGACCCCAGGGCTCGGTGGCGGACACGGACGACAGAGCATCTAAAACACTGTTGGGCACATGTTACCAAGGAGAGGGAACCCTGACTACTTGGGGGACTCAGGGAAGCCACAGGAAGACACTTGATTTTATCTTAGGATAGGCATTGTACTTACCAAGTACTGGTCCTGAAAATACTAGTACTCACCAAATACTTGGTTTACTCAGCCATTCCACAAACGTATCAAGTGCCTAGTATCTGCAAGGCATCATCCTAGACAGTCAAGTTCCAGCAAGTGTCATGACAAGGTTGTTGTTATTTTTAAAAGTCCCCATATAATAAAAATGCTACATGTAAAACCCAGAAAAAATATCTTTTAAGTTACAAAAGCAAAAGAGGCCTAGAAATGCTTCTTGTTACAAAAACGGCAACAGAGAGAGCTGCTTACAAATACAGACCAAAAAGATAAATGCATGCTTGCTTGTTTGCTTGGGCTTGGTTGGGGGGAGCTCAAGGAGGGTGAGCTGCTCCACCCCTCCTGCCCCACCCTCAGAGGGCCTCCACAAGGGTCACAGTTAGTGGGGCCAGGGCCATTCACCCAGTGCTCTGTCCTTGATCACAGTGCAACCTCAGGTCTGTGTTCCCCTTCTCAGCCTCAGTGTTATTGATAAAGATGGAGTACCGGACCTGGTGCAGAAAAAGGAGTCTGGGCTTTAGAACCAAATCTGGGTTTACATCCTGGCACCACCTCACTTCCTGGCCATGCGAGCTTGGCAGGCACTCTGGTTCCCAATTGCTGCCGCCCTGAAGTGGAGATGACAATAAGTACTGTGCACGGTAGGCGACAGGACTGAGTGAGAGGGTGCATGGACCACGTGGCCCTACTGCAAACTGAAAGTCAGCCCTGGCCTGGTGTCTCCCTATAGCTCGATGCTGGGCGGACATCAAAGCCTGGACCAGAGCAGGGCCAAGGCCACTGGGAGAAACAGGCACAGCCCTCTGATCACCTGGGACATGCCTCCAGCCTCTGGCTGCATCGCACATGCTTCTGCTGGCTGAAGGGTTGGGGAGGAGAGCTAGGGATTTTATCAACAAAAACTATCTTCCAGGAGGTGAGTCCTAAGGACAGGAATGGGAGGCCCATGGAGATCACCAAACAGATGGAGATCTCTAGAGAAGGAGGAAGGACTTGAAATGATGTGTTGGCAGCTGACGGGCTCATTCTTCTGGTCTCAACGTCCTCATCTGGCCAATGGGCAGGATAGGCCCTGCCTTTGTCCCAGGGCTGCTCTGAAACCCTGTGAGAATGTGGGAGGAGCATTTTGGACATAGTGAAATGTTGGCCAGGGGTACCTTGTCTCCGTCCCTCACCCTGAGCCCTGAGGGAGGTGCGAGACACCGAGTTCCTGATGAGCTCAGCTCGCGAGTGCTCCTGGGGTCTGCCTAGTCGCTGGCCAGCCATCTCTCTCGACTCCTCCCCAAATGATGTTAAACCACCTCATCCTGGTCCTCAACACTTCCACCAGCAACCATGAACTCCTCACTTCTCCCCCGCCCCCCGCCCTCACCACATGCACACCATTCTTTGCTCAGGCCTTGGCTCGACATCCTTATAAATTCAGTTCCTACCCCTCTCCGGCCTCTGCCCTGTATACACGCTGCACACCACCTCACCAACCAGCCATTCCTTGAAGATACTGCTTGCTTTTGATTTCCAGCCAGCACTAACCTCCTACATGCATTTAAAGGGATTTATTCTACAAAGATTCCGTTTTTTACTCTGCCAAGGTATATATGTACATTCAAGAATCTCATTGTAGGCACCAGCTCCGTGTTCCAATTTGCAGATCCCTGTTATACACCATGTCCAAGAATGCAATTGGACAGACGTCTCCTAAACGTGCTGTGTGCCAGGCAGGAGGATGTGGGGAGCAGCCCCAGGCCTCAGGTTTTGTAGGCAGCCTAATTCCAGGCACTCTTCCCAGAAGGACCACACTGGGAGGAAAGGAAAGAGGCCTCTAGATCCCACTTTGCAGATGAGCAGCCGGCTCTGAGTGAAATGACTTACTCTGAACCTGGGTCTCTGGACTCCAAAGCCCTTTCCACCTTGTCTGTAAACACCTCCCTCTGGACGGCCAATCGAACAAAGACAATTGAACAAAGACTGTGCAACCAATGGGGTGACAGTGACCTCCAAGAGGTCAGGGCCTTGTCCCTTCGTTCTCCCATGCAATATGCCACCATCCATCACTGGCACAAAGCAGGAGCTCGTTACTTGGCTGCTGAAAGGTAGCTCGGGCTCTCTCTAGGCAGTGGATGCTCTCCTTCCCATGTCTGCAGAGGGAACTGTATTTGCAATATGCTTTCGGCAGCTTCTTCATCAAGGCCTCCTCCTGTGGCAAGAACAGCCCTTGGGAGGTGGTAGCAAGCTTTCCCTGATGCTCCTTTTTATAACACTGGGCTTCTCACCTAGCAGGGGTTCTTCAAGCGTACCCAAAGAATAACCAAGCATGTGCACAGAGGGACATGATGTCCCCAAGCCAAAGAAGGAGGATGTTGTCCAGTGTGCAGTGGGTGAGTTTGGATGGAGGTAGGGGAGCAAAGAAGCCCAGATGGAACCAGAGGGACAGTCACTTCTTATCCCCCTTTCTCCCCTGCGCTCTGAGGAGCCAGCCCCAGCTGAGCCCACTGCCACTTGGCGGTGCTTCCTTCCCTCGCTAATTAGTCCCTCCCCCTAACACACCAGTTGCCAGAAGCAGCAGTGTCACCTCCCTCTTCTCAGATCTGTCTCCCTCACCCTGGCCAGCTGGTTGGCCTGCTCCCCGCAGAGGTACAGGGGTCAGGGTAAGAGAGAAGTCCACTCTGGGGCTCCCCCTCTACCCGGAGTGCTTTGGGGGCAACACCCATCCTTCCTCCTCTCTCAGGACAGAGGGCCTCATCCTCCTGTCCACTGCAGACCCTCCCCCGTCCCAGCCTGGCCTCCCCGGGATCTCCTGCATCAACACCTCCCTCCTTTCAGTCTCCAAATTCCTCAACTCCGGTTATTCTCTCCCTTCCCCCCATAAGCATTCTCAAGTCTTCCCCGCTCTAAAAGTGTTCTCCTTCAAAAACTTTAAAATAGGACTATTATATGATCCAGTAATTCCACTTCTGAGTATTTATGTGAAGGAAATTGAAAAACACTAGGTCAAAGAGATAGCTGCACCCCCATGTTCACAGCAGCCATATTACAATAGCCAAGAGACATGGAAACAAGTTAAGTGTTCATTGATGGGTGAATGGATAAAGAAGATGTGAGATTATATACATATATACAGAGGGTGCCAAGAAAATGTATACACATTTTAAGAAAGGAAAAAACTGTATTAAAATTATGCTGATGGGAACCACTTTGAGCACCTCTTGTAACTGCAGAAGTCAAACGTGACTCATATTCCTTTTGTTATCGGTATATGTTGAGTGTTGCAATTTTAATACAGTTTTTTCCTTTCTTAAAGTGTGTATACATTTCTTTGGCACCCTCTGTATATTATTCAGCCACAGAAAAGAAGAAATCCCACCATTTGTGACAAATGGATGAACCTAGAGGGTATCATGCTAAATGAAATAAATCAGACAGAGAAAGACAAATATACCATATGATCTCACTTACATGTGGAATAATAAAAAAAAGGAAGTCAAGCGTGTGAGCAAGGAGTGGATATAAGTTGGAACAGGGAGTCTCAGCTGAGTAAAGGTGAGGTGTGTGAGGAGGTGAATGAGCCAGAGGTGCGGTCAGCAGCATTGATGAACAGCAGGTGTGGCAGGTGTAGATGAAGAAGGAGGGAGTTGGGAGTGGGCTGCAAAACAGGAAAGCAGTGATCAGAAAGTGGGTGTTTGAAACTGAGGGTCTGGAGGAGATAGAACTACAGGTGGCAACAAGGTCAAGAGTACAATGGTGAGAGAAAAAGTGGAGGCAAGGTCTTTGGAGGTGGAGGAACTGAGAGTCCAGAGCATGTTGGACT